ATAGATAGATAGATAGTAATGGCGTTAATTGGAATAAAAATCATGAAAAATATTATAACTTTTATGCGAACTTAACAGGAAATATATTTAAATTTTAACAAACTCATATTTAAGAGAAAATTAATTCTGAACATTTTATATTTGGGTATTACTTTATTGAGTATGTTTGTCATGACAGAGATATACATTATCTCTTATTATATTATTTTTGAATTTGATTTTTATTTCGTATGCACATCTAATTACCTTTTATATAACGCAGGACTATACAGATTTATCTGGTGCAGGGCAAGCAAAAGAGCAAGCTGTTTGAGGAACAGAGAACCCGGGTTAACGGGTCCGATGTACCAGTGGTTGCTTTGCGGTTCAAAGAAGTGCACATGATGTGGCTAACATGCGAAGCGGTAAGTTGAAATACTGATATAATAGAATAATATACCTACTAATAATATTATTGTAAATACTGATGAGCTAAGAATGACTTTTTTTTTTAACAAAAATATGCCAAATAAATTTGCTCTTAAGTCTTAATAAAGTATAAAACAAATCTTATCGCGTAGCTCTCTAACTCGAAATAGTTTGTTGATAATTTTGATTATCAGAATTATATTTTTATTCGATTCCAAGAATTATGACTACATAAGTATATTTTACATAATAGTATCATTAAAATAACTTATATTTATTCTTATCCTATTGATAAATAATAATATTATCCTATTATTTATAGATAGGTAATACGTCTTAACGTATCGAATTATATATGTTCATTATAAGTGGTACATAATTTATGTGCTTTGATAGTTAAATAACATAGGTATCTAAAGTATTTAAACAACTTATACTAAAATTGCGATCTACGCTGTAACCGTATTTATATTTTATGTTTTGTACGTTAATATTAAACGTGATCTAATTGATGCGATCTATTTATTTACGTGGCAATTTTCATAAGGATTTTAGGAGTTTTATAAAATAAAAAAAAGTGTTTTGATGTGTACGCAGTTATTACAGCGTAATTTAAATGTGCGATTTATATAATTGTTTAAAATATGCACATTCCGATAACACCTTAGTGTTACTACGCAAATATAAATTGATTTATCGTAATTAATTTTTTTTTTTAAACACTATTGTTGTGGGAAAAATGTACATGGTTGAATAGAATAAGATATAAATCAAATTTTTTTGTCGAGTAAATAAGTTTATTGGGTATTTAATTTTTTAGTCTTTTTATAATTTTTTTATTAATAATTATTTTCTATCCTAAGTATGGAATAATTATACAACATTGCAGTCTGCCTAATTTTAATGATATAGGTATGAAGTTTACGAGGTATATATATATATATATATATTATACGTAATATAATGATATTCCGTCAAAATCAGGTCATAAATCATAATAAATAGCACATATACATTATACATACAGTATTGTCATTTTGTAGAAATCTTCGATTGTAAGTCATTAAACCCGAGATATGTCCCTATAATGCTATAACTAACTAATGTAATTATATAATCGATTTCTATGTTATGTGCGGCATTTTTGAATTCCGTATAGTGTTATCACTAGGAATATAAATTTTGGAACAAAATAAAGCTTTTCCTACTTTAAATAGAAGACTGCAAACATAATATTAAGAGATAACATTATACAACTGCAGGTGTAATATTGGTCTAGAGAATTCGACATAATGGTTTTACCATAAAAGCTCACCGTAGTATACTATGAAAATTTAATCTGAGACTTTAGTCTAAAAATGAAGGATATCGTTCGTTCGATATATTTTTAGCGATATTATCTTTGTACGCTAAGTTTATGATATCGGCGATTTGAACGGGAAATAATATCATATAAAGTGACTTTTAACTCCTTATATCAACAACAGGGGTGTAATTTTTTTTTTTTTTTGTAAATAATTATATCATAATGTACGCCGATGGCAACGTACTGAACTTTAAACGTCGTGCACGCTGTATAATGTTAACAATATGATATTATTTTTTTTTTTTATAGTAATCGTAGGTAGGTACAGGGTGCCACCTGAACCTGGCAGAACGCATAATATTAATATTTACGTGTATATTTTACAGTATCCGGAGTCAGCCCGTATCTTTGACTCTGTGTGGTATTTATATATCGGCATACTATATGGGTACGACTATGTTATTATAAAATATTATGTATTATACACAATGTGCGCGTTTTTCGGGTTGGGTCATCCTAGTTTCCGTTTGTCCTTGTGGAATGTATGTGACGCGTACTAGACGTTTGTCGAGAATTTAAGTCGAGATGTATAGAAGATAATAAAAATCATAATGTTATTCAAATTACATTATTATTTGTCTCGTGTTTATATTAATGTAATGCTCAAAGTTCGAGGTCTGTAATATTGTCGGCTGACTAATGGTATTCGTAAATAGTAATAAAAAAAAAAAAATGCCTTCGTTGTTTGAGGGCGGCAAAGAATAAAAATTTCCACTTGAATGTTGATTGTATACCACTGCGCAACTATTTAGTACGCTTACATATTGTGTGTATAAGATGTGTATGTCGTTGATCTGTATCTATACCATAGATACCGTAAGACTTATACAAACCACGAGAAAACCATTAAGTAAACTACGGTATCAACTCATTTAACGTTTACATCCTCATGTTTTTTTACTAAAAGCTAAACATCTGCAAGTAAATGTTATTTGGTTTATATGATTGTGAAAACCCATGTTTTCTCCGTCCGTGCACCTAACCTCGCGCCCGTTCCTCGACAATTGTGTGACGTTGTGTTTTCATTTTAGTTTTATTATTGTTGTTATTATTATATTTTCCTTATAATTTTGTTATGTTCTCTTTCCTTCTTTGTTTCCATATCTGCGCAACGAATTTTCGGCAACAAAGGAACGGAAACGTTATGGTGGCGATGGCGGTGTGTGCCATAACGGTCGGTCGGTGGGGCGGGTGACTTGGTAGATATTATGATGACCGGCCTTGACGCTGGCCGAAATATATGAAATCGCCGAACCGACGCCCTTGTAAGTGTGCTAGTATGTGTACGTATGTGTGCGTAAATGCGCGTAAGTGAGTGCGTGTGAGTAATATGCGAGTTTGTGCGTGTTTGCGAGTGCGCGCACGAACAACTATAAGAGAACGGATCAAGGACACGACATTGGTTTTTGGCTAGGTCCTATAAAACACTTCCCCACTCCCTTCCCGTGATCGATTTTTTTTCATTTATCCGCGTTATCATGCGTGCACACCATACTATTATATGGTTAAGAAGAAAGGAGGGGTTTTGTTATTTACAATTTTTTCAACCCCGATTGAAAAACGAAAATTGTTGGGTTTTTTTTATTCATTTACTTCTATTGCATGTTGTACTACTACTCACTCCGTAATTGATGCAGTCGGAACAAACAGACAACGTTTGGTTTCCCTTTCATTCATCACTTTCATTTTAGATTTTTATGCTCCGACGGCTGTATACAGCCGCGCGTCTTCTTCTCTCTTCATCTCGTCACAATCTTCCTCACTGCCCCCTTCACCTATATAAATCAGTTGACAATTTTCATAATAATATTATTATCATTATTTTCACTTGGATTATTTGTATTAATATAATTAATTAGTGTAACACTCGTATGTAAGATGACCATAGGATTTTAAAATTCCGACCAAAATAAAAATACGTATTATAAATAAAATTGTTGCTTTATTCTGATGATACCATGTTACGACGTCCAATAATTGTATAAGTTATCGACCATAAGTTTTTTTTACTTTTGTGATTATCATCATTATTATTGATTGTAAATTATTAAATCTAACATAATTAATATTTGTGGTCTTTAAAAAAATGTTCTGCTTTTATTAGTTTTCCAGACTGCATTTGTTTAGTCTGCACAATATAAATAAAATTTAATGCGTGTAAGACACGTCAATAATTTTTTTTTTTAATTTTGTGTTCATACGATCTGTTATGCATAGGAACAATCGGCTATATAATAGCCTGGAAACAGAATTAATTTATGTTTGAATAGTGGTTTAGTAAGTTTAGTTAAAACTAATTTATTGTTATTTTTCGTGATAGTCGTATCAATATTTTAATTAAACTCGTTCATATACATAGGTTATCTATATTAACATTTCCTTGTAATAATTAACAATGGCTGATTCTTTTCTTGACACTTGAATGTGTTCCAATCGTGTTTATATAGCACATTTTTTTATGTGTTCTATGATTTTCTGATCGTTTAATATTAAGTATATGTAATATATTATGTTATAGTTAATTCCACGTGTATAATAGTGTATATTAATAATTATTACATATTACATTGATGTATACTAATATGTATTGTTTCCTTTTAATGCGAGAAGTGCTGATAAAGTAATAATTGTACTGTAACTCGTATATTAATGTTTTATCACCATAGCCTGACACTTTCACTACATATCGGTCGGCCATCGGGTGTACTAACGATTTCGTATACTTCATTCATAAAACAGTTTACGATGTACACTCGCGTTTAAAAATGACTCGAGCTAAACTATAACAATGAGCTCAGTAGGATGCAGACGGTTTTAATTGGCATAATGGCGTGGTGTTGCAATAACGTTTATACGTATTATTATGATATAGTAGCCGGAAACAACAACGAAATTATTACAAGTGTAACATTGTTCCTGTGCAGCAATTAAAATAGATATAAAAGAAAGAGTTCAAGTTGAACTGTCTGTTATTATTGAATTATTACCGTTTTACGTAAGCACAATAATTAATTTTTTGTTATCTGTACGTATAATAATGTGTTAGGACTTATAAAATGTATGTTATATTTATAGTACACTATAGATTATAGGTTTTTATATTTATGTGATAAATTGTTTTTGAATATATATTAATATATAATGTAGGTGTACCTTTTGAAACGAATTATAATATATTATTAATTATTATACTTGATAATTCGTTAATTAAACAAGCTTATCATCCTGGACTAAATATTATGAGCTATAATATTTTAAAATGTATAATAATATATGTATTACGTAACGATAATACGTTATATTAGTAGTTAGTAGCTACACATACATTAAACACCGCGGACCATACCTGAACTATTATTATTTTCGGCGGTTGTACATTATTATAATTATATTAAACCAAAGATTCGCGTCACGTGAAGAATATTTGGCAATTATTTTTTTACCAACGATAAACCGGTTTTACGACGATTCCATTAAATACCTGCGGATAGGAATTTTTTTCACCCGTCACATGACCCGCGTATATATTATTATCAGTGATCGTCGTCTACCGCAGTACTCTATTGATCTCTGTGCTCCTACTCGAGACAATATTTTTCGGTAGTTTATTATAATATGGTATGCCCCCCC